GGTCTATGGGATTGACTCCCTTTTGCAGCCAGCCTCTAGCGGCCAGTTGATGAATTACAGTATAAGTCACTTCCGTGTTGGCTTCACGAGAGAGAGCGGAAGGTTGCCGCTTGAGTGCACTGCATAAATGAGTACACTCCCTCTGAATAAATATAAAAGATGTATTTTCTTAATGATCACTAATATAATTCATGGAAAGATGGCAAAATTGAAACATTAAACATATACTTAATAAAAACAAAAAAATATATGCCAATATTTTATGTAAGATAAGTAAATTAGCCAATTCTGTTTAAATGAAGGATTGCAGAAATGAGTACACCCTAGATTTAATTCAGAAAATGTATAATATTCTAGTACTTAGTATGTCCCCCAGAACACTGCTCTGACTGCTCTGACACTTCTTGGCACTGAGTGTACAAGTTCATGACAAATTTTCACATCTGTGCTCTGGAGGACGAGTCACATCTGTGCTGTTTAACTCCTGGAGGACGACCTCCTTAAATGCCCTGGTCTTTAATGGGGAGTGTTGCTCAGCTCACCGATATATCGTTTTGCCGATATTATCGGCCGATATGAGCCTGTCGCCGATATATCGGTATCGGCGAATATGCCACCGTATGAAAATTTTTTTTACAGAACATATAATGCAGATAAAATGCTTGATAATTACTAATTACTTAGTTTTGTCCAGCAGAGACAAACTCCATTTTTTGCTACTGGCGACCTGGATGTTAAAGCTTAAAGCTTAAGTCAATGGAACACCATTGGAACTTTGAACGGCCATATCTACATAACGGCGCGGTGAATCCTCACCAAATTCAGGGGATCCCTTCAGCTCGAGGAACCCTCTCGAACTCGAATCGATTGTACGATCGGATAGCCCCCGGGGTTTGGGAGTTACGGGTGGTTAAATTCGCGGTCCGGCGCCGACCGATCTAGCGATCCCGGGGGGTTACCGACGCGCGGAGGGGGGCGTTCGAGAGGGCTCCTCGAGCTGAAGGGATCCCCCGAATTTGGTGGAGATCCGCTGGCACGTTCGCAAGATAGTGACACCAGTCAACACTCACTTCAGTTAGGAGGTCTCTTGTTCAGGCAGCATTCAAGCGTGGTCTTATTCGACCGCAAGTGCCCTGCAAAGTGGACTTCACATGAAATTCCGCCATGATTCCAGTTCCAAGGGAACGTACTCG